ATTTATTGCATTCTATTTTTGGCAGTTTTTGAATTTTCTTTTAAAATTTTACCTAAATAATCGAACAACTATATATGCACTCTAAATTCATGGGTTTTGCGAATTTAATTTAGGTAAATTTCGACTAATGTTTACAATTTTGCACAAGTCAAAAAAATTTCTCATTTTTTATTAAAAAAAATTGATTACCATAAAATCGAGAATTTCGAATTAGGAAAATACTATCACATACACCTTTTTTTGCGCTAGAGATATTATATAAAAGTGCACAAATGTGCAAAAGTACATCCACTAGTTGAATACAACAGCCAGCGGCTGAATGCAACAGTCAACAACTGAATAGGCTGGGAGGACATGTCAAAAGACCCCCTAAAACTGACCCCAACAGGGTAATACCCTAAAAATACAAAAAACACAACAGACTACCGACACTAAAATCTCCCAAGAGGAAAATGAGAAAGAAATGACCCCAACATGGTAATACCAATCACACTCGGGCACATACAGAGGTCAACAACCCAAACCAAAAACAAGACCTAACAACATAAGCAAACAAAGAAAGAACACACATAAAACAAACAATAATACCAAAACTAGAGCGACAAAACAACTACTACTGCTACGACACCCTTCCTGCAATCGGAAGCCTCATCAAGCACAACAATGGCAGTCAAGGCCCAGGACCCGATCAAGAACTACAAGAGGACACCTAACTGGGTGGGGTACCATCAAACTCAAGGATAGCGCCACAAGACCCGGAAACCCGCACCCCCGAAGACCACCCAACTGTCAACACTGGCTCGGACCGCAGGTGCAACAACCCAGCCCGAAACCACATCTACAGCCGACTCCTCCGCCCTACAACCTCTAATGCAACCCCAAAGACCCCACGAGTGCAACTACACCGGCTCGGACCTCGAGTGCACCCCCAAAGACCACCCGAACTAAGAAGAGAAGAATGGCCAGAGGCGGCGTCTCCACCTCAATCCCCAAATCGGAAAAATTGGGGCCGCGGCTACCATCAAGAGGATGCCGGAGGACCGCCGCATCGAAGATTCGGGTGAAGATGGATGGCCACCACACCTTCCCAGCACCAGAAACGGCAAGACCTAGGACTCGGGACGACACAACCATGTCCCCGACGTAGAAGAACCCCTCCCACCGAGTGCTCGCCGAGCCCCGCTGGGGAAGGCGACGGAAAAAACCGGCGAAAGAGTGGTGGATTTGGCGATTGGGGATTTTGGGGGTTTGGGAAGGCGACAAATGTGAAAGGTAAAAGGTTTGAAAAAAAAAATCAACAAATCAGAACACTGGCGCACATACATCTTTTCCTGCTTGCAACAGATCAACTGTTTATTAAAAAATCGAATTGCATAGAAACCGAGTTAGTTTAGGTAAAATTCGGCATGACATTTTTGTAAAAGTTGAAATTCGATCATTTTTTATTAAAAAATTTATTTACCAAAAAATCAAGAATTTCGAATTAGGCAAAGTACTATAACATGTATCTTTACCTAATTGCAACAAACCATGTTTATAAAAAAAATAAATTGCATAGAAACCGAACTCAATTTCAAATTAAAAAATTATTTATCATTTGACTACTACTTTATTTAGTTGGGATTTTTTTAAAACATAAAACAAAGTCAGATAATATTAAATTCAAAATAAAATCGGGTTGAAACATTATGAAAATTTAAGTTTTGTTTAATCCTCTAAAATACAAATTTGATTGAATACACTTACACAATTTTTTCCTTCCTCAAATTAAGTAATTTATAATTTTAAAATAATAAGGCTATATGTTATCAAAAAAAGACATTTTATAAATTCTGTTATATTTGGCTATGCAATCTTCATAAAAGAAGTATAAATAATATCATATATATCCTGCTAAATAATTTAATTGGTTTATTTAAGCCTATCTAGAATCTTAATGTACTTTTTGGCGATAGACGATGTACCAAAAGACCAAATAAATAATGTTGTGTACAAAGATGTATTTAATAATATACAAATTACAATCATCTAAATCTAAATATTATTACCTTAATAATAATTTACTCAACATCTAAGTATCGCATCATAGTAAATTTATTGACTTTGTGGTCAAATCTAGCCTTATGCCAAATAGAAACCGGTTTTTCTAACAAAAAGACAAAAGAAAATATTCCCAATCACCCATCCATAGGGGAACAAACCAACCTAGCCGAGTTGAATATTGGCCTTATCGAGCAAAATTAATTTTTTTTTTAGCTTTTCGAGCTCGTCGATCTCGATTTAAGAGGCTCGAGCTCGACTCTATAAGAAATTATAATAGCTCGATCTCGATTCGAAATCAAATGCTCCAACTCGGCTCGAAATTAAATGCTCCAGCTCGGGTAGAGTTGGACTAAAAAATTTGTTGTATTATAATATTTAAATATATAAGGGGTATTTAAGTAAATTAATATATATCAAGTCGTTCGACAATGTGAAATATGGGCTCGAGCTGGATCTCGACTTTGACTCATGTGAATAAATAAATAAATAAATAAAATTGTAGAAAGAAAGCCGAATCCGACGTAATCTGAGAGCTTCATTTTCCAATCCGCCGGTATAGTCTGCTGAGATTCCATTTCCCGAGATCGGAATCGTCGGTGCATTCAATCGGAGCTGAACCGAATAGGATTATGAGAAGAATAACGATGGCGAAGGGTGCCACCATGCGCGCGTTGCTTCTGTTACTTTTGCTGTGTGTTCTGCGGCAAAGCGAGGCCATTTGGTTGAGCTTGCCTTCTAGTGGAACAAAGTGCGTGTCTGAAGAAATCCAGAGCAACGTCGTCGTTTTGGCCGACTACGTCGTCATCTCCGACGACCACGTCCACCCCACTCCCACCATTTCCGCCAAGGTTAGGGTTCCTTTTTGTCGCCATTATCACCTTCAGTCTTCTGGGTGAGTCTCTGTTGCATTTGAACGAGTCCCTTTTTCTTTTATTTTTCCTCTCCAAAAGGATATTAATACAGACTAAAATAATGGAGCTCGTTTTGCTCGTGAGGTGGATATTGATTAGCTACTGGTGTTAATGATGAGCTTGACATATTTAGATTATAGTTAAATGCTTTCCCATTCCCATTTTAGCTTCATTTTCAAGGGATGTAAGCAATTAAGGCAAGTGTGATCTGGTTTCAGGGCTATCTTGTGTGACTCTTATTAGCGGTTTCTTGATTATTTGAAGGTTTTTCTTTGAAGATGCATCAATCTACATTGAATTGGATTGAACAACACTAATGATCTGTGTATTATTTGACTTTTGATTACTATTTATCTTATATATTGAACAAGGCATCATTAATGATGCTGTTAAAGAAGCATGAAGACAGTAGCTACATGTTCTGAATCTAGTTGTTTTTTTGGCCTGCATTCTGCCTACTCTCTATCATCCTTAAGTACCATATGTTGCATGTTGTAAAAATGTAATTTGCAATTTGTTCTATGTAATAAGATATATTTATTACATTCGGGCTGGTCCAAAGGGAGAATAATTCAGTAGTTGATATTTCAAATACAATATTTTGACTTGGGTAACACTTTTTTGCCTTTTTTTTTTTCATATGGATATGGTTCTTGTGTTGGACCAATTGCATGGGCTTGTTTTGTTATATTTTAACTTCAAATTTGTACTGTTGTAATGTTTCATTTGTTTGGCTTCAAATAGTGATTGATTCTTTTCCGTGGAAAAGTTTCCTATTTAGTATTTTCAAATTACTTTAGACAATAGTTTGCCTTGGAGACATTACTGTTTCACTTTGTTCATGCCTTCATGCATCAAAGCTTGAATTTGATTACTTAGGCTCCTTTGTATTGGCTGCATCTTTCTGCAGTGGCTTGCCTTATCTTTTGGCCTTTTTCCATACCCACGAGATTATCTTTTCAAGCCTTGCCTACCTCACCAAATTTTTTATCTCCATCTTTTGGTTTAGTATATTAATTAACTTGTTTCTTTCATCCATAGAATACTTTCCGTGTCATGTTATTCTGCAATATGTCAATGTACACCATCAATGTTCTTAAACATCATATTTAATTTACCATTTTATGAGAAGATTTTCAGAGTTATAATATGGGTTTTGAATAAATGCTTTCTTATATAGAAAGTTACTACAGAAGTTCTAAATCATTTTGGCCATAAATGTCAACTATTCCAAAAGTTCCCTGTATTGGTCACACTTTTTGATTACCTGATGTATCAAAATCAGGTGATCCTAATAAATAAGTTGTGCATTATAATAAGGGAACCTAGATGCACAAGAGATACCTGTGTGTTTAGTGAAATCTGTATTAAATTGAAAACAATACTTTTTGTGATTGGATGGTTTATTTCTATAAAAATCATGGCTTATGTGCAAGTTAAATCCCTCGCCTTTTCCAGGTGAAGTGTAATACATTTTTGATTATCCGAAGAAACCAAATATTTGTGTGAAGATTCATTTTTTTACTAGAAGACTTTTGAAGGCATCAGAGGACAAACTTGTCTTTCATGTATAATTCAGCATCAAATTGTACAGTCTGGCTTTCATTCGTCTTTTTTTGACTTCCATAATGATCCTAGTTTTAGCAATAGCTATAATACTATTAGTTTCAACACAATCAAAGTGGTACCGCAAAATGTAGGAAGAAGTTTAGTTTTTACGATATGATCATTACAATATGGCCTTGGGCTTAGGCGTGTGCCCCCATGATATAATTGTTTCTTTCCTCAATTGTAAGAGTTTCTAATTTTCATATTTTCTATTAGATAGGGAACCTCATAACCGTGATGACCTAAATTACAAGTCTTCTAGGGATCATGCCTTGTACTTTCAGCCCGTTGCAGTTAGAAGTTAACTAACATAGGTGCACAGTAAATTGTGTAGATATGGTAGCTTCCATTAATCTGTTATACATGGCCCCACCTCTACTTGTATAGGTAACTAGCGAGAAAGATAAATGACAAAAAATCTTTTAATTTTCATGATACTTAGCAGTTTTTTCCTGTGCTAGAAACCTGAAAAACTATCTTCCAAGTATCCTCAATGTTACTCCCAATTTGCAGTCTTCAGAGGACCAAATTTTTGTGCTGTGAGTTGAGAGACGTGATGTGAATGGCTCACTTTTGTCTCACTTGCATTTTTTGTTATCTAGCTAATATGAGTCTATCTTTTCATGACAGGTCACTTCACCATATGGAAACCCCATTCACCACCAAGAAAACGTCACGCATGGTCAATTTGCCTTTACAACTAGTGAAGGTGGAAACTACCTGGCCTGTTTTTGGGTCGATGGCCATAAACCAGGGTCCGGGGAGGTGAGTCTTAACATTGATTGGAAGACGGGTATTGCCGCAAAGGATTGGGACTCTATTGCAAGGAAAGAGAAAATTGAGGTGAGACCCAATAGTGCCACTTCCTATCTGTTACATTCATTTGGGAAAAAGAAACTATTTCCCTTACAGTGGCCAAATGTCATGTTAATTTTTAGCGGCAAAACCAAGGATGTTGATCACAATCAAGAAAATTAATCGTATGTTTTCACTCTACCAGGGTGTTGAACTTGAGCTAAGAAAGCTTGAGGGAGCTGTGGAGGCCATTCATGAAAATTTGTTGTATCTTAGGAGCAGGTAAATATTTTTTTTCTTTTCTTTCCCTTTTATTTTTTTTTTTTTAAAATAAACTTTTGATTATAGATTCCAATGGGTTTAGAATTATTATACTGTTTTTTTCTCAAGTTTTTTATGGCCTTGTCCTTTCAGAGAAGCAGATATGCGGATCGTGAGTGAAACAACGAATGCTCGGGTGGCTTGGTTTAGTATTATGTCATTGGGAGTGTGTATTCTAGTTTCAATCGCCCAGATATGGTATTTAAAACTTTATTTCATAAAGAAAAAGCTGATTTAGAGAAGAAAAGGGTCGGAGTTTAGTTTTTCTTTGATGTACTTGTGTTTTGTGAAACAACTTGAAACTTGGAATTTTTGCCTCGAGTTTATTCTTCTTAATTTGCATAATGATTTTTAACTTCTACTGTCCTTTATGTGTTTGTTGCCATAAATTATTACTTGCCAAAAAAAAAAAAAAAAAATTTACATTTTTGTCCTAAATAAAAAATTTTCACTCCACTTTCACCCACTTTCACCAATCTCCACATCTTCACCAAAAGCTTATTCCTCTTCATAACTTACCAATCTCCATATTATTCCTCATTAATCCACATGTCAATTAATCTAACATCGGGAACACTTCCAAATGAGGTAAATAATGTGTTAATCACTTTTTTTTTTACATTGATTTTCAGTAATATGTCTCTTGATTTTTGAGTGTTTGAGTTATTTTAGGACATAAATCATTAAACCCTCTTCATATATGTTGCATTAAACCAATGTGATGGGTTGATTAGGACTGTATAATGAATAGACTGATAATAGATATAGGTTAGAGTTAAGTTCATTCAACAAACGC